CAGCAACAATGTCGCTTGTGCTCCGACATTGTACTGGTTTTCCAAGATGAGCAGCACCCCAGACGGCCTGTCAGATTTGTGCAGTATCTCAAGAAATTTCTCTCATCATATCGTCAGCGTCTTCTGATATTTCTATCCTTCTCTGAGTATTCGCCCAAACATGACTTCTTCTGAGCCTAGATAACTGTCAACCCTTCTCTCCCGAATCAGCACGACAAGAAAAGTCATATGACGAACGGCGATCCCTCACTCCCATCAGCACTCAGGGCCAGACAGTTCCGCGCATTGTGTTGCAACAAGTTGAGATTATCATCGATCAGGCGTATTTATACGACTCATCATCACCGCTCTAAAAGCACTTCCAGAGCACGTTGGAGCCCACCTGAGCGTAGACCCCGCAGCGTACACGAAGACAGGGTGAACCGTTGAGAGCGCCTACATATTAAAGCGCTCAATTTGTGTAACAAACAACAGCAACGAGACAAATGAAATCTGCGTACCACACCCTCTGAACAAAAAGAAGCCATCCCAACTATCATCTTAACAGCCAGAGACAGAACCCCATGTTGCGGATGGAAGAATACAAGGCAACCTTCAAGAGTCACATCACCGTCCGCCAGGCTTGTCTCTCCCCAATTATTCCGTTATTAAGTACGCTCAAGCAACCGCAAATGGATCAAAGCTTAGGAGTGACGGTACCTCGGTAAGAGGACGAACAAAAAAGAAGGCGAGACAATGGCTCACGTACGGAAGCCAGCTCGATTCCATTACATTGGCCCTTGAAGCTACGTTCTTGGAATGAAGCATGCAATTTTATACCTCGTGGCTCTCGATAATGACGAAGCAGTGCTCACCACAACCACCGACTGCCCTTCAATGCTGCCGAAGCAGACGGCACTCTTTCGTGTCAGTACAGAAATGTATGCCGTGAAAGAATACGGAGGCACGGATAATGACCAGAGAATGACGGACGGGGGGTGGGAACAGAGATACAATAGATATCATGCAAGAAGTCCCTTGAAATTCGTACATGCGAAAGTAATATATACAACCGCCTGAATCTCACCCACCGTTAGCCAGTTCAGACCCCAACCACTGCTGCCTGTGGCGTATGGAAAAGTCAAAAAGCCTCGAAACTCAACGAGATAGGCTCACTGCCTAAGCCCTCCACCGCCGGCCACTTTTCTCAAAGATGTGCGCGATAGCTACTGACCAACCGACTCACCCTCTAAACGCCAATGCCGAAAAAACCCTTAACCGTCCCTGATGCAGCCCGCAATGCCTCTATTCAAATCATAATCATTTCCGTCGTCGTGCTCACTAGAGTAAGCTTTGAAAAGCTTAAGCGAGGTAGCGGTAAGTCGGGGTCGAGACGTCCTCCACTCGTTCGAGGTACTCGCGTACAATCAGATCCTCGATGCGCTTTTTGATGAGGGTGACCTCAGGCGTGAAGCGACTCTTGAGTTGCTCGATGACTTCGCTAAGGAGGTGCGTATGGGTGAGCTCCTTGCGTTGCCTGTGAAATGTTAGCCAATGCCACAGCGCAAGGCTGTCGGGATAGCATACTTCATGATTCTGACGAGCGCAGCGTCAATGACGTGAGCACGGGTCTGGTTGTTCTTCTCCTCCGTCTGCTTCCTCTCCTCATCGCCCTCAACCTTTGACGTAGCGTTGATGATGGGAGCCTTGATGCGCACTTGCTTGCTAACGAAGGCGCTGTTGAACTTGAATTTGTCCCCGGCCTTGACTGACTTGGTGGCGGGCTCCTTGAGGAGAACCCTGGCCTTCGGGACAATGGAGATGGAAGCAAGAACCCTAGTGAGATCGGGTGTGGGAATGTTGGTTTTGGCTTGGATCTCCTCCAGAGACAGCTCCTGATCCTCCTCCAGTTCATTGAAGAGCATGAGAACGACCATGCCATATGTCGGGACATTCAGTTCATATCGTCGCTCGCGCGATAGCGGCCCTTTACCACCAGGGATAGCAGGGAAGACCATCTTGATATCCGCGCTACCGGTCGAGCCCAACCATGTCAACTTGCGACCACTGCGGTTAGTGAGATAAAATTTGAGCAAGCTGTCTTGCAGGCGTTTGATCTCGTCCGGCCAATTGCAGCCGGCGCCATCGGCAAATTGCGAGTTGCGTCCCATGATGTCGGGAGGCCATGAGTTGGTCGTCAGGATGTTGACGGCAAGGTCAATCTGCTTACGCTCGACATCGCCCAGACCCCTGATATGATCTCTGTAGCCGGAAGACAGTTCGGCGGATGACTCCATGTCTCGGAACATGCCCTCGAACTTGGCAGTAAACTGGTTGCCAAGTTCCTGCTTCATTCGCGAGATCATCGACTTCTCCACGTCATGACTCTCAGACTTGTTGTGAAGGAGACGCTTGGCGAGGTGCTTCTGGTAGTACCTCTCAAAGAGATCCTTGTCGGAAAGGTAGCGGATGACAGTGATGGCCTTCTCCAGCACCTCCTCAGTTTCGGTCTCGGTCTTGCCTCGGATGCCGCGGCGCAGGTTGTCGTCGATAAACAAAGAGACGTATTCTGAGCTCTTGGTGAACATGTTGATGAAATCGGAGAAGCTCTTCGTGAGAGCGGTCTGAATGATCAAATCTTCCTGGAAACATTTCTTCCACAGATTGTCGAACTTATCCTTCAACTTCAATACATCGTCAACCCACTTGATAGCAGCAGCGGTCTGCTGGGCTGATGAGCTCAGAGTCTTGGCCTTCTCGGTGCCCTCGCCCTCCTCGCCGTCAGCCGCAGCCGCCGTAGCAAAGTTGGTATCCTTGAGGATTTGCTCAATCTCGAGACCGAGCTCAACGACGCGGGCGGAGAGAATCGTCTTCAGCGACGTCTTCTTCGGGTCAACCCTTGAAACGAGCTTGAAAAGAATGGATAGCTCCTCTTCACGGTCGTAGTTGACCATGGACTTGAGTCCACTGCCCTCAAGATTCAGGAAATCGTCCAGGTGCGCCGAGATCAACTCCTCATCAACAACCTTAATCGACTTCTCCCTCGTCTCATAATGAATGGTGGTGTCGCATCGGTCGTTCTCCTCTGCAAGGCGGCGTTGCGTGTGCCGAAGCCAGGCACCGGCATCGGCATCGCGGAGCAAGCGCTCGCACTCCTGCTTGTAGTATTCTCGCTCAGACTGGAGGTACGCTGGTTCGAATGTTGTGAGATACAGCTTTTCCGACTCGTTCTCCTCATCCGACTCGTAAAGACAATCCAGCATTCGAACGATGTTGCGCAACAGATGGCGGTCAATATTGTCTCCGTCCCGCTCCATGTTGATATGGTCCAAAATGACTGAGTTGAGGATGTCGAAGACGGTGTACTCGCCGCTCGAGTTGAGGCAGGCTCGCAGGATATGGTCTCTGAACAAGCCAATAGTCGCAGTGTAGATGGACGCTCGGCGGGCGTCTTGGGTATATCCACGGTCAAGATACATGAGAATATCGGCAGTCATGTTCATTGAGGTGTTGTGGTGGTCCCACGAGGCCCTCACGCCCTTCAGGAAGTGCTCGCCCATCTTGCGTCGCTCGTTGACCGAGGTAGCTGAGCCGCCCATAGCAGCGCTGACCAGGTTTGCGGTGACGAGCTTGTCAATCTCGGGAATGACATGTTCGGAGAAGTATTGCTCCTCATGTTGCTTGACGCGGTCGTATAGCATCTCGCCCTTCTTCTTAAGAACAATTTTGTATGAAGCTCGGTAAAGCTGCTCGAAGGAGAGGGTACTGCAGTTCTGGTTGTGAATGTCGGTAAGGGCTTGCTTGAGGGTTTCCCAGCACTGCTCGAAGTCGCTCGTGTCGATACCTGAGGTGAGCTGTTCATCATGTCAGCCCGGTCCATCGGGATGTGCGGCCGCCGCGTGCCCCGTATCGATCGTCTGGTGTTTGCACCCAGCCAATGCCCAAACAGGCAAACAACAGGCATGCTGAGCAAAGCAACATCGGTTCAACGAAAGACGAGAATTATTGGGTCTTCAGATCTCGAGAAGAGAGGTCTTGCACCAAAATCAAGCTTTTCATCGCGCCTTCCTTCCCGCAGTGACATATTGGGGTGACTTACCCTGCCCGGGCGGCGCGGGGGCCGAATGCGACCAGCCCGCATGGCTGTACCTCCTCCACCTCTGCCGGAAATCATCGTGTCTCCTTATGGATATCGAGATATCGTGTGTAGCGAAAATTCTGCCGGGAGTGGTGTTGTGGTTGACCGTTTCAGGTCGTAGTAGCTATCGTGGGCGTCTGAGTAAGTGGCGGCGGGGTAGCTTTCTCAGAAAGTGTGGTGGAGGGGAAGAAGTGGTAAGTTGTGGTGGTGTTGCGCTGAAAGAAGGTTGTCGGAGGAAGCGAAGGGAAGCAGAAGTCCTAGCTGGTCTTTGTAGCCTCAGTCGCGCAGGGCAGGAGGGAGTTCGCGACAGGAAGGATCGAAGGAGGCGGTATTGAACAAGGCATCGCACACGGTACAGGCAGTTGTCTAGGTTCAGTTCACAATGAGCTCGGGAAAGAAAGCAAGGCTGCACTGCACTACACGGCACACACAAAACCACCCCCGAAGCCGGGATGGTCCGCGCGCACGAGGCGGAAGGCACGACCGGGTTATTGGACCCAATCAATTCCCATCCTTATCCCAGTTCCTAGACGCAAAGGCCAGCCAGTTAGGACTGTAGGACCCTGATTCGTTGATTTCCCTTGTTGTGCCACATCTAAGTGCCACATGTGGCGCTCATCCGTTTCAATCTTTTTACAGTGGGCTTTGGGTTCTGGAAACTGGAAGAGCAGTGACGGCATTCCCAGGACTTTTTTTTGCGACCAAAGCTCCAATTCGGTTCCGCTTGACTTTTGCGAGCTTCAAGCACCACCAACACCAGCAGCCCAGCCACGATACTAACTCCTCACGACACTCACAATACATAAAAATGGCCTCGCGCTCAGCATTCACAAGATTAGCGCCTCTGCTGCGCCAAACAGCCCGCCCAACTACCTCCCCGATAATGCGCCTCATTCCCCAAGGCGCCTTCTCTCAAAGCCTACCCCTCCAACCCGCCGTCGCTACGCGCCTAGCCCACTCCATCCCGAAGCCCAAAGCCGCGCGCGACCTCGAGAGCAAGACCGAGCAGCAGATCCGCCTCGAGTCGAACCCGCACTACCAGCTCGACTTCACCTGCGTGCCTTGCGACACCCGCTCCCGCCACAAGGTCTCAAAGCAGGGCTACCACCACGGCTCCGTCCTCATCACCTGCCCGGGCTGCCGCAACCGCCACGTCATCAGCGACCACCTCGGCATCTTTGGCGACAAGAAGGTCACCGTTGAGGATCTCATGCGCGAGAAGGGCAGGCTGGTGAAGAGGGGCACGCTCGGCGAGGACGGTGACATTGAGTTCTACCCCGACGAGGGCTCTACGGAGGCCGAGGCTGGGGCCAAGGCTGGCGAGGCCAAGAAAGAAGAGTCATCATGAGGGACGTAATGGAAAACTATCACATTGTACAACATTGATATTTGGGGGCGGTGCTTTGGACCACACAAAAGACGGCTAGGAGCCGTCGGGGTATGACACGACTGCATGGAGACGGCGTTCTGGATACCCATCACCACACACTTCTGGGCGACGAGACGAAGATGAAATGTAACAACAAAATAGATAAGAATCTCACATATGAGCGGGCGATGTAGCCCATGTACTATAAAACACCATGCATGTCTTCGCAGCCTTTTTTCCCACCGAGAACGCCATACGATGCAGTCTTCGTGCAGACTTAGTAATTACCACCCCTTGTACGCCGTCCTGGCCGCCCTGTGCTCGGCGCTGCGGACCTTCTTCTTTTCCTTCTTCTTTTCCGTCTTCTTCCTCTTGTCCCTGCCGTACTTCTCCGGCTGCGCAATCGCCTCGATCTTGCGCTTGCTCGACCTCTGCTGTCTCCTCTCGCGCACCTCCTCCCTGATCTCTAACAACGTCTTGGTGTATTCGGCCGTGCCGAACTTCTTCTGCAGAGAGTCCATGAGGATTTGTGCCCTGTTCTTCAGTCCATCCAGCTTGGCCTTGAACTGCTCGTCGTTCGAGAAGGGCACGGGGATGTTGGGGTCCGTCAGGTTCTGCAGGGGGTACAGGATGGTCTTGAACGAGGGCTCGAGGTGCTCCTGAGGCACGCGACGGCAAATCGTCTCCAAGACCTCCATAGCGACGACCTTGGGGGTGATGGCGCTTGACTTGGGCCGGACGTCCTTGCGCAGGAGGGAGGAGAGCTTCCAGAAGAGGTACTGGAGGTCCTTGCGGTGCTCCTCGATTCTGTCCTCCTCGGCTTCCTGCTCGTCTCTGTCTCCAAGGGTCTCGGCTTCCGGTACGTTTTGCACCTTGACGGGCAGACGGGGGCCCAAGAATACCAGGATCTGGGTGAGTTCCGTGGCAAGGGTATCTTCGATCTCGGGAGTTCTCAAGGCGTACATGGTCAACCTCACCAGCTCCTCGACATCCTCGCAATCAAGGTCCAGTCCGTGAGACCCCTTGAGCGTCTCTCCCGCCTTGGCAGCCTTGCTGGCGTAGTCGGCGAGGAAGGCACTCAGAACTTTGGCGGTGCTCAACTTGACGGAGTTGTCAGGATGCGTGAAGCATCCGCGGATGTCGGCCCAGAGGTCCCGAGATTCCGAACCGAGGAGTCTCTCGGGGTATCTCTCTGTCAGGACCTGCACGTCATGGAGGACGGTGTTCATCAAATCCTCGTCAGCGACGCGGATATCGCCAGTCCCGACAATCTCCCCGATCTTGCCAAGAACCAAGTCCAGCTCCTTCTTGTGCTTGGTTGAAGGCTCCCTGGCCTCGAAGAAGAACCCGAATGCCTGGAGAGCCAGCTTCGTAACAGCTGCGTTGTCCTCCTGCTCAATCCACGAACGCAGAAGCGTCATGAAGTTCTGCATCCGCTCCTTGTCAGCCTTGCGGAACATCTCCTTGAGCACCTCGCCGGCAGCGAGGCAGCACTTCTCGCTGTCGTCGTTGGCCAGCACCATGACCAGGGGCAGGAAACACGTGGCGATGGCTTCTTGCACGAAATCATCTGCCGACTTCGTCAACAGAAGATGGACGACCTCCATGACGGACAGACGACCGCCCTCTCGCTCGTAGGTCAAGTTGGCAACGATGAAGTTGAGCTGCTTCACCCAGCGCGCCTTTCTCTGTGGGTAGTCCCTGAGGAACTGGAAGAAGGCTCCTCTCGCCAAGTCTCGCGTGTTCTGGTCATCGTTGGTGATCATGACGGTACCGACGTAGTCCATGGTATCGTAAACAACGGCAGTCTCGATCTTGCGCTCAAGGACGGAGCGCAGGAAGTTGAAAGTGACGTGGCGGTAGAGAGGCTCGGTAAGGTCGTCCTTGAGCTTGCCGAGCAGCATGTCGATGGCTGCCTCCTTAACGGGAATGTCCTTGCGCTCCCGGAGAATGACTGAAAGGAACTTCAGCGCAGCCTGGGAGAGGTCTGTAGTCGTAGATGTTGACATTGAAATGCTCTTGGAGGCCTCCCTGGTGGCGACCTTGAACAACTTCTCATCGTCCTCGTTGTTGAAAGGAACTCTGACCAGGACACTGAGCAGCTTGAAAGCTGCAACCTTGACGTCGTCCTCGCCGCCTACGACAGCGTCACCAATGATGGGGACGAAACCAGTGATGTTCGCTGCAGTGCGCAGACTGTCATGCTTCTTCCAGGCGGCCCGCAGAATGTCGAAGGCGAACTTGACCAGCTTGTATGTGTACTTGCCCGCGGTGCCGTGGTTGTCCTTCTTCACGCCCTTCTGGTAGAGATACTTCTTGAGGCGCGGGTCGATCCTCGGTGCTTTCTCGGGCTGCTTGCTCTTGTAGACTTCTTGGATGACCTCGTAGCAGAACACCAGTGTGTCACGGCTCTGTGCTGCAGGGTTTTGCAGCAGACCAGCGGTGATTCTGGCCAACAACGCATCGATCTTGCGGACCAGCTTGAGGTCGACCTTTTGCAGGAGAAGAGATTGCAGTGGATGCACGAGTGCGACGAGTTGGCTGATGGAGGCAGACTTGGCAATCAACTCCATGGAATCTTGAGACTTGCTTGCCTTGACCTCCTTCATTTCACTGACGTATCCCTCAGCATCCTTTTCTTGACCGGCAGCACCGAAGATGTCATCAATGATAACCGCCACGATAGACCAGAGAGTGTAGTCGAGATCACCCTGCTCAAATTCCGGGATGACTCTGAGCAACATGGAGTGAAGGGTGTATGAGAGAACGTGCAGCTGGTAACCTCGCTTGAGCGCGCCGCGAAGTTCCTTCAGAATGAAACCAAAGTAGGTCGGGCCCAGAACGGAAGCGATTTGCACCAGAGTATCTCTGGCCATCTCACGGGCTTCCCAAGACTTGCTGCGGAGAATGTGGCAGATGTCTGTGAGTACGCCAGCAAGCTTCTGGCCCATCTCCTCAGATGGGAGGATCTTCATGAGCTTGACGATGATGACACCGACAGGCACACGATAGCTGACCTCAGATTCATCCTTCTCGTGCAAGTGCTTGATCAAGGTAGGAAGGAAGAGGTTGCCAACATCGGTGCTGAGCTTCGCCTGTGCGGGAACGGTGCGAGCAAGTCTCAAGTTGGAGGGGGAGGCAGCCTCAGAGCCATCCACTTGCATGGGCTCAACGTCAGTGGCCTTTGATTCCACGGAGACGACGAGAGCATCGCTGAATTTTCCGAGCAGCTTGTTCACCTGCTTCGGCAGATCAGGCTTAGACTCCACGAAGCTGATATATCTCTGAAGGATCACACGGTAGGTCTTCCAGTCAAGGGACAGGGCCAAGTTCGCAATCGTGATTGTCGCCTGGGCGCCCAAACCTTGGTCGTCGGTGCCATATGCGCGGCCGAAGATGAAATGCTCCAGCAGCGGAATGAAGAACTTGCCCAGATTCTGGCTGCTGATTTCGTGGACCTCGTTGGCAGTCTCGAGGAATCGGATAGCTTCCAATTGACGGGACGTGGCAGGGCTGAGAATGTTGAAGAAGAAAGGCAGTTCGGTGGTGTCCTCGTCAATATCGCCGCCAAGGAAGCCCTTCAAATCCGCCACAGGTTCCCACGTGGGCATCTGGTATATGAGGTACCCAAACACTCTCAGATACTCACGTCTGACAGTAGCCGACTCCTCGCCAGCTCCGGAGTAGATGGACTTGAGTACAATGTCCCTCATTTGTTTGTCAAACGCTGCCTTCGAGGCTTCTTCTTGGCACGCCGCTACCTCGCTGATGAACTTCCGGAGACCGTCTGCAGAGTTTGACGCAAGGATGCCGTATTCCTCATCACTACGAATGAAGAAGATCAAGTTGTGCAGGAGCGCGAGCCACTGTTTGGGAGTAAACGGCGTCTCCTTGTTTGTAATCTGGGTGAAGGCCTTGAGTCTCTTGTCATAGTCCGGCTCATCAATGCGGTCCGGTGCAAACGCATTGAGGGCGCTGCAAAGCTCGGCAACTTCCTGGATAGTGGCATCCTTGGCGGCAAGAGCCGTAAGAACGCGAGCCAGAGACGTCCTGTTCTCTCTGTCTTTGAAGTAGCTGAAAAGGGAAGCCAGAGTCTCGTAGATAGCGATGTTGGCAGTCGTGTCCTCCGCCTCGGAAGCACCCAGGATGTTGATGAAACGCTCAAGAATGAGCAGAATCCTGCCCTTGGCTTTGGGGCTGACCTTGCGTGCGGGCTGGTTGAGAAGCTTAGTTGAGATATCCAGAGTTTGCTGGACGTTCTGAGAGGTTTCAACCATAGGAGAAAGCTCGACAATGGTTTCAATGCAAGCTTCCAACAGCTCATTGCCCATCTCCGCCTCAAGTGCAGTGGTAATTGTCCTCAAGATCAGCTCCATGTTCGCGTCAATGAGTTCGACGCGGATAAGTTCATTGAACTCGGACTCCTCGGCAGGAGCCTGTGCCAGCTTAAAGAGGTTGCGGACGATGCTGAGGGCGAACACTTTGACGTTTTCCTTGGCCTTCGGCACCGAAACGCACTCGATAACCTTCGGTAGAATCTGGCTGTTGATTGACAAGAATAACGCAGCCTTAGGAAGCTGGGACCACGTCCAAAGCAGCTGCATAATACCAGAAATCGACTGGGCGGTCTCAATAGGCAACTTCTCGGTCCTGGGGACAACGACCTCGTTGACGATAGGTTCCGAGTACGGCGACCAGTTGAAATCCTGCGCATTGCGGAACAGGGAAATGATACACTTCAAGCCGGTCTGGCGGATGTCTTTGTACAGCGACTCCTGAGACGCCTCAGTGGGTTCTTCGTCCTCATCATCCTCCTGAATCGCCGTGTCCCGGAGTCGCCGGCAAGCGGAGATCAAGCAGTACAGAATGGGATGCAAAAGTCTCTCGACATAAGGCCCAACATGAGCGCCGAGCTCGTTGATCAGGGGCAGCATCATGTTCATGAAACCGACTTGCTTGCGAGGAGGGAGAATTTCCCGATCGAACAAGCTGGAGCGGAAACCAGACTCATCAATAACGCGAGCGTTCCTCAGGCTGCCAGTCGCGATGTCCAAGAAACTTCCCATGTCCTCTACACTCAGGTTTCTCAGAACGGTCAGACGAGTAGCCAGCAGACCATGACGGCCACTGGCAGCTCCCTTTTTAGAGATGGTTCTTCCGTATAAGAGTCTCAGAAGCACAGGCATGAGCTCGGCCCGGTGCTCAGGTCGAATGACTTCGTCGCTTTGCAGAAAGACGGTAACCTCGTTCTTGAATCTGGCTTCGTCGAGGAGGTACTCCAAGTTTTCCTTGTAAGGTGTGACTCCCTTTTGCTTCCAGGCGAGGATAGCCTTCAGTGCCTGCTCCTGTACCTCGATATCACCATTCTCCATGAGGTGGAGAAGGGCACGGTACACTTTCTCGTTCTGATACAGAGACTTCGGGTTGACAAACAGAGCAAAGACACCAACGAGTGCCTTGCGGTCCTGAAGTGACCAGTCCTCTCCATTGGACTGAGGCTCCTCATCGTCCTGGGCGTCAGATGCATCATCCTCATCAAGAGCCCAAGGCAAGAAAAAGGGCACCAGCTTACGCGAGTGTTTCTCAGCAGACGAAGGCATAGCAGTAAAGACCTTGATTGCCTGGGCTCGGGCGTTGGTCGCGTGGGCCTCTACGGTCTGCTGCTGCTCGTCAAAAGCTTGGAGCATGAGATCTACCGCGTTGTTGACCACAGGCTCAACCTCATCTGCCATCCTCCAGAGCTTCTTTAAGTGGGTGCAGTCGAAGTCAGTGACGGGTTCCCTGCCCTGGAGCGATGGTTGGCTTCCGGGACCCGACCACCTGGGCGAGGGCGTCTCCAGCCAGTCGAAAGCCATATCTGAAATAGCCTCCGCACCCGTCTTGGATTCTCCAACCAGCTTCAGAGCGGTAATGGTATCGTCCCACAAAGGTGAAAGTTTGACTGTCAACATGCCGAACATGAAGGAAGGGATTGCCTTCAAGAGCCAGGAGTTTTTGCTCAACTGAGAGTAAGTTTGACCAAGCTTGCGCAGATGCATAGCAACATTTCTCATCGTGGAAAGCTCCATAGGTGTCTGCTCAATATCCAGCATAAGGGTGTGGCAGGAGAGCTCATCGGGCGTCGACTCGATTTGCTGAAGAATCTTAAGAGAAGCGAGACGAAGCTCATGAGAAGAGGCAGAGAGGTTCTCGATTAGTGCCTGAACGACAGGATCTTCCTCTCCAGAGCCCTCGCTGCTGTCGCTGCTTTGGCGGTCGACCGACGGCAGCTGGTTCTTTGTTGCTTCAGCGTACTCAAGATAGGCCTCCAGGAAGCCAACTGAACGGCTGAACCGAGGCACGGCAGCCCGAAGAAGCGGGCTGAGAGCCGAATCCACCGGACCAGCCGCCTTGCTCATGCGAAGGTACGCATGAAAACCCTGGCTGACGCTGAAGTGAACCTCATCCGACGCCAACGTGGACGATGGTTTCAGTGCAAGTCTCAACTTTCTAAGTAGGAGTTCCGCGATCTTGGCGCTTGCCGATGGGTGAACTGTCGTAGAGTAAAGGAGGTCTAGAAGTGCTGAGTATTTGGGCAGACATCTATCCCGCCATGTTTGGGGATCCTTGTCATAGGCTCCGCGTTCGGGGAAGGGTGACGCTTCGAGGCGCTCGAACTTTGACACAATCTGGTCCTGCCAGCTGCGCGGAAGATTGCAGGTCTCCTTGCCCCCTGGCGAGGGCAGACTGCCTGACTTGACCATGCGCGGTAAGAAAACGCACAGCATATCCTCGTTTCGACCGTCGGACCAGTGGCTGACAATGAACCTGGTCACTGTTAGCATGCGAGACATGAAAGATGATGCTCTATGACATACCTCTGGAAATAGGTCTGGAACAAACTTCGGAATCGTTGTGAATCCAACTCGGAGAAGTAGGCACAGAACGGAATATACCATCTCATGAGTTTCTCCCTCTGAAGAGCTGTCATGAAGTCCTTGATACACGGGATTAGGGCGTCAATCGGCGCCTGGTGCCAGACGATCGCGGCGTTGACAACGACATGCTTCCATATCAGGCTCAATTTATCCTCCGTTGCCTCTGGGGAGTTCTGTGCCATCGCATCCAGCATCGCTGTCAGGTTTTGGACGAGTACGGGCCAGTTGCTGACGCGAGATCCTCTCCGGACTCCCGCAGCCGTACCGAGAACCCTGACTAAAGGCACATAACGCCATGTCTTGCTTGGCTTAGACTCGGCCAACGCTGCCTGCACATGGTCTTGGATCGCTTCGAGGACCAGCGCAAGGTCCTTATCGTTGGAGTGGTGGATGATGCTGGTCAGGACACCGCAAACAAGATCGGTCCAGGTCGCCGTCGGCGTGAGGTCTGACTCGGTTTCGGGGATGGCTTTCATGAGTGTCGTGAAGATGGCCGGTCCAGTCGAGTGGATGGTCTGTCCTGGGCCCTTGATCGCCTCGGCGAACATAGTCATGAGACCATCCTGGTATAGTTGGAACTGACGGTCGCCGACAGTACTTCGAAGGTCGTTCCTTGCGTGTTCAACGATGGCGACGAGAGCGGTCTCCCGGTTCGCTGGTGCTGCTGCCTTTTTAATGAGAAAGCTCAACGCCTCGGCGGCAAAACGGGCAATATGAGGAGGGTGGCGCGCCTTTCCCAGGAGTGGTATCATGACATCGTACGTCGGTCGCAAATCCGGGACCAGTAGCTTCGAAAGATATTTGAACAAGAAGGCGAGAGCGGCAAAGGTCCACTCAATAACATCGGCATCCTGCGGTCTGGCGGCGATGGCGATAATGAGATCCAGAGACTTGGCATAGTACTTTTCGAATCTGGTACCAATATCGTGCGCAAAAGCTGTCAGGAGGTCCAAGACAGGCTCCAAGGCATCCTTGTCTTGTTTCGCAATCGACGTCTCGAGCGCCTCGAAGATGTCCTTCTCGAAGTGCAGAATCTGGGGAAGACTCTCACTCAGCGGCAAGACCACCCTCTTGAAATCACTAAAGGCTTTTGAGACATTGAGCTCGCCCCATTTCTGCAGGCCGGTCCGGAAGTATGAGGTGGTCGCTTCGAGGTCTTCTTCGTCGAGATCATGTCGGCGGACCTTTCGTAGGGGATCGAGCGAGTGTAGTTTGGAGACCTTGGTCGCGAAGGACTCCCATCGGTGGTTCTTTTGATGTGGTGTTGAGTATTTGCCCTTTCGGGACTTTGTGATACGTCCAGATGAAGTGGAAGGCATATTGGGCGCGTTGACAGGCGGTATGCGCAGGAACCCGTCGTCTTCGCCTCCCAGCTTCACACTGCTTGATCGCGAAAAAAAGTTCCCCGCCGACTCTTCAAAGCTGCCCAGAAAGATTTGAACTTTTTTTTGCCGGGCGAAGCTCGGTCCACCTCGATAAGGCGATAAGAGTATCAAAAGCGGGTCTCCGCCAATTATATTCCTTCCAGATAGAGATCCACATTACTTCATCGCGCATCCCCCAGTCGCAACTTTCCAGCTTCAAGCTCCCATCAACAACCACTCGAACCCGTCACACCCCGAATCAGCAAGGCGCAATGGCTGCACCCAAGGTGTGAGTGTTCCTCGATACGACTCCGCGACTTGCAGGATGTTTTCAAGAGTGCTGACATGTCACAGGATCGTGCTGGGCAGCCTCAATGGCTCGCTGCAGCCTGCCTTTTCCAAGGTCGCGACGCTCCACGCGAAGAATAACTTCAGCTTCGCAATCGTAACCGGCAACCTCTTCGGCGCAGAGGACGACGCCGCTGTCGAGTCTCTTCTCAATGGCGAAATCAAGGTGCCCCTGTCTACTTACTTCACCATTGGAACCGCGCCCCTTCCTCCGCGAATCGTCGCCAAGATTGAGGCCGACGAGGAAATCTGCGAGAACCTCCACTTCCTCGGCAAGCGCAGCATCACAAAGACCTCAGAGGGTGTGAGAATCGTTGCTCTGGGCGGAAAGCTCGATAAGGAAGTCGTTGGTGGGCAGTCAAAGGAACAGCACCTGCCCTTCCACACTGCCGACGATGCGAAGTCGCTGAAGGGAGCGAACAAGGCGGATATTCTGCTGACGGCAGTTTGGCCTGCTGGTGTCTGGACGAACTCCAAGACCGCTCTTGCCCCTGAGAACCAGGCGATTATTGAGAGCACGGCAGAAGTTGCGGATCTTTGCTCTACACTGAAGCCCCGCTACCACTTCTCCCCCTCTCCTGCCGAGTTCTTCTACGAACGTGAGCCTTTCTTCCATCCCACCGAGGAAGGCAGCGACGATTTCCCCATCACCCGCTTCATCTCCATGGCCCCCTACGGCAATTCAACGAAGGCCAAGGCGCTTTACGCCTTCACAATTCAGCTCAACGAGACTTCGGTAGAGCGCCCAGTTGGCGCGACTTTCACCCCATTCAGCCCCAGGAAGCCCAAGAGACGCGCACAGGAGGAAGGCTCTTACAGCCGCTTCGGTAACGGAGACGACGGCGACCGCCGTCATCGCCGTGGAAACAAGCGAGGTCGTCACCACTCACCTCCCCCCGGCCCTGACCGTTGCTTTTTCTGCCTCTCGAACCCGAATCTGGACACCCACATGGTCGCCACCGTGGGCGATGACAGCTATCTTGCTACTGCCAAGGGCCCTCTCGCCACATCGGAGACATTCAAGGATAAGGGCTTGGGCTTCCCAGGCCACATCATCATGACACCTCATGCACACACGCCAACCATCTACCATTCTGGCGCCGAGAGCTACTCTGCTGAAGATGCGGAGCGAACCCACAAGGAGATGACTCGATTCCGAGAGAGCCTCCAAGCCATGGTTGCTGCCAAGTCGAATCATAAGCTCGGTGCCATCACCTGGGAAATCAGCCGCCAGCGCAACATTCACGTCCATTGGCAATTTCACCCCGTTCCTGCGGAAATGGTCTACAAGAACGTCGTCGAGGCCGGCTTCAAGGTGGAGGCAGAGAACCTCAAGTACCCCGAGTTCGAAAACACCGAGCTCTCGTACGAGGAGCAGGGCACCATTGGCGACTACTTCCGCATCTGGATCTGGGCAGACAACGGCGACGACAGGATTAAGGGTACTAGTCTCGTCATGAAGCTCGATCCCAACATGCGTTTCGACCTGCAATACCCCCGCAAGGTCGTTGCCAAGCTTCTCAAGCTGGAGCAGCGCTTCGTCTGGCGGGACTGCGTCCAGGCCCAGGAGGAAGAGGTCAAGGACGTCGAGGCCTTCCGCGAGGCGTTCAAGGACTGGGACTTTACGCTCCAAGGATAGACAAGAAGAGACGGATGTTTTCCGGTTCCGGAGTGGCCAGGAGGGTTATCTGAATTTGGCATTTGAAAATGGAAAGGGGGCAACTTCGCAAAATGATTTCTTGCATGGCATGGGCATATGTGGCGTTCGGGATACCCAAGTTTTCTGCATCTACTTGCCTCTGGAGGGGCAGCGGCAGCATCTGATTTTGACTCGGTTCACATATCAAAGCAGACACGGGCGTATTCCTCAGATATATACCGCAAACAAGTAGACGCCAAACAAAAAGTTATTTATGATTTCACCACATTTTCCAAAAACGCACTCATTTTACAACCGAATGATGTCTCCAGAGCAGTGCCTCCACACGAATACCCCATCAACCGTATCCCACATTTCTTTCGAAAGAATGCCACCGAAGATCCGGACCCCGAAATCTGCTACAAATCCCCAGCCATGATTCAGAGCCTCAACTCTCAACCTAGCAACGTCAGAAGGCAGCTGCATCTGTCCACCGCCCCTCATACCCGCGAGACCCCACGGCAACGTCCCGCTCTTGCGAGGCACGCCGCATTACGTCGAAGGCTCTGGGCCCGTCTTACCGTCCATACCTCAGGGCGGAACACTTCATACTGTCTCGCGCGGCATGCTCTCCCCCCCACACTGCCTTGGCCTTTTAGGACCCCTGGACCCCTACAACATTCCTCAACTCTCTCACACCGCCGACATGACAAGAAGAGGGAAAACCTTGAGGCCTCTCCTCCGAGCTTGTGAAGGTTCCGGACCACTCCGCAGTATGAGATGGCTGAGACCTCCTCATCTCCGTCATCAGATCTCAGCTTGTACCTGTTGCGTGTTGCATAACGAGGGACTTTCTCTCCCAAAAACCCAAGCATGAGAAAAAGTGACGATGGAATAATCTGTGCTTACACTTGTACAAAAAAGTTTATTCAAGACTTTCGGCATCCGCACGCTTTTATCCGTTATCCCTTGCATCCTATCCGGCCCGTACAAAAGCAATGACAGCTCAAAACTGAGACCATAAACTAAACACCCCCGGTCCTTTGTTGTGAGACTCGCGGCGTGGCGTCCACCCCCCCGGATGACGAGGGGAAACGTTCTTTTCTTCTTTCAGCAACCTGTGTTTCTCGTGGTACCCCTTGCGAGCTCACTTGCCAAGCTTCTGTTTTCCAGGTCGTTCTCCTACCCGACCATCTCTTTTCTCTCCCTTATTTGCATCGTATTCTATGTGCCGTGAAACGTTAGGATACACTTGCTGCTTCCTCTTAGCCTGTAGATTTCCTCCATGTCTGTATAGCTAACAAAGAAGAACGGGAGAGAATAATAGCTAGCTAGTTGAGACGGGATAGGAAAAGCGCTTTCCCTCAAGGAACGTTTGTCAAATTCCACCTCCCATGGCTACAATGGCCCGTCGGCAGACACTCCGAGGCACACAACCAGCTCCTGATTGGTCCACTCGAAATAAGCATGTTCTCCCCCCCCCGAGTAAGGGAGGCTCACGATAACAATCAACATCACCTCTGCCCCCGACTCATGAACCACCGCACTGCAACCTAATTAGCCCCCGAATCCAGACGAACGGTTCACTCGCCCACCAGCGTCGCATCATCGAGTGCAACGACATCTTCTTTCAGGACCGCACGTAGAAACAGCTTATCATGAAATTCCCTCAAACACTCAAAGAGAACTACAACACCCCAAAGTCCCATTCATCCGTCTGTCGATTCATTCATCCGAAGCAGCGGCCGAGTCCGCACCCATTCAACCCCCGTCCCTCCCTAGTAAACTCGTCTTTCATCACATCGTGTCCAAGTCCCCCATGGAAGCCCATCCCTCCCGTCCCTCCCTCCCTTTACCTGCGCCCCCGTTTTCCATCACGTAACAAACGCATCAAAGCCACACGCTAGAACACCCGTAGAACACATGCACAAAACAAAACACCCGTTAATAGCTCTCCACAAAGATCCGAACGGCACCATAATGGTGAGGTGGAAGCGCCAGCAAGGGAAGCAAAAACAACAAGATCCTAGCGCAGAAAAGAAGACACAAAAAACGTCCCGAAATGTCCGTGTATTCATCGCGTCCGGCCGTCCATGTTGATGTTTGGCCCTGTCTGTCCTAAGCAAGCCACCTACCAACAACGGTGCTGTCTGGTAGGGATCCCCCGGATTTCTGGCTGCTTTGCTGGTCAAAGCAAAACGATGACGTGAGTCGTGAATCGTGAGACCCGGCGCATGGAACAAGGAAGATCGAAGGGGAAGGAAGGAGCCGCCGATACGAGGAAAAGAGAGGGAACCGCAGCGTTCGACCATGGCCCGTGAGGATGTTTCAAAACGTGGTCGAAGCCTCAAAGGGCCGGACGAACACACGCGCTAGAAGCAAAGACCTCCGGACTGCACAGACAATCGCGAGCCGCGGTGGGCCTCGAACCTCAGAGGCTCGGACAGACGCGCTTTCTCGCGCGCGTAGCTTGAGCCGCTGCGCCTGCTGCTCGCGTGCCTCTCTCTCACAATACCAATTTGTGCGTGCGTGTTTGTTTGTGTGTATTTTCATTCAATTGAGTATGAGCTAGCCCAGAATGGTCCTTCTATGGAACCATGGTGTTTTGGCAATTTCTTTTCGATGCCAGTACTGTACAGAGAAAGCGTGGATTCACCCACGCCGTAATCGCACGACTCAGCTTCTAAGCTTGCAGTGCTCTCCCCCAAGATAATTCGCCAATGTTACAAGGCTTCCCGAGCAACTGCTTTTCTTCCACACGTAGCTTTTCCACTTCTCTCGCGCTGTCCTGTTCCAGGTACTCCTACAATGTACACAGGAGGTGAAAGTCCTCCAACAAGCCCGGCCAGTGGTGGTCCGTGAGGCGTTGTTTTGAAAAAATGTAAAGGGAATGGGTGATGTGAGGTCTGTGAGTGTATTGTGTCATCCGATGACAAGGATGTCGGGTATCCGGCGTTTGGATGGAAAGTTTTGGTATCAGGTGAAGGGTCAAGTGACCAGACAAAGGAAATTCGGTAGAAAACAAGTAGAACAGTCCGCCGGGTATGGTCTGAAATACTCCCGGATATAGGTGGGAGACCAACAAAGCGGACCGAGACGTCATAGTGAAATGCTCCCGAGCCCACGATGCGGAGACCCGACTGCCGCAGGTGTGACCGCGCAATGTCGTGTGTGTCGAGACCAACTCCACCGGCGGACTTCATCCGACCAGCTGTGCCGGATGATGCAGAAATTCTGACAAATGAAAAAACCAAGGACAATGCTGTAAATGCCGACAGGAGCCACCGCGAGATGCCAGATCCAAGATGGACTCCGAACAACCATGTTGTGGCGATGCGGGACAATATGCCAATGCGTCTAATGCCGGTTGTTGTGTTGTATGTTCAGGTTGGTGTAGAACAAAGCGCATAACGAGTTCTATTAGCGTAATAGTGAATTCATCGCGGCCGTGAGCGTTAAGCTGCTTTTGGGCGTCGGATTCGTAAGGCGGAATATTGGCAGTTGAATCGAATAGGGTTGACATGTGCAGAGAAGAGGCGCATAAAATCGACAATCAGGCTGCTGTGGGTCGCCCTATTAAAGGATGCCGGAAGGTGTTCGACGGGACTGTACCGGTGGTGAGTGGTACAGAGTGAGAGACAGCTTCATTCCTCCAGACGAGGAGACTGCTCCGCCATTGTGCAGCAGACGGTGGGGGAGCGTTGATAATACTAGTAAGAAGCCATGCGTCTTGCATGGCAACGTTCGCCCAAGATTGGAGAGTTGCCAATCATGGTGCTGGGATCTTGGCGGAAGCTGATGCTGGGTCTGAGACCGCTAGGTCTGGGTGGCGCGGTGGGGGACTGTTCGACGCAGGATTCGCGCTCGCCAAAGGCAAACGTCTGGGCCCTGCCGAACTGCTTGCGCGGGTTCTTGAGGCGGCCGAGTTCGCGCTCGCAGGTGCGCTGGTGAGCTTCGTCGGACATCTCAACGTAGTTTTGAGGGTAGCACCGGCAGCGGTGCTCGTTGAAGAAGGCGCTGTATCCTCCTTCTAAAATATACACGTCAGGGTAGGTAAGATGCGGGTAGTGCTCGGCGTTGACGGTTCGGTCCTCGGAGCGGACGTGGCGGGCCATCATGGGGGCGCGGTGAGCAGAGTATTCGCAGTGAAAGATGAGAATGGTTCGTCCCTGCATGGGGTGCTGGAACAGTTGAGAGGCGAGGAGGTCCTTGTTGTTGTAGTTGACGGCACCATCGATGTGGCCGCCCTCGTACTCGTACTCGAAACGGCAGTCAATGACCATCTTCTGGTCGAACTTGTCACTGTACTTTCCGTCCAAGAGGTCGACCATGGTTTCTCTCGTGATCCTGGGGATGGTGTCGGTAGGGTCATCGGCCAAAAAGTGAGGCAGGAGGGGCTCCTGAACCTCGTCGGCATCCATGCCGCAGTGGGATTCTGGGGTCGTAGGAGAAGAGTCGCCTCCTTCTGACTTGGCCTTGCCAACATCGCCGGGGTGCTCGAACATGCTCAGAGAGCGACGGAACTGCTTGCGGGGACGCATGAAGGGGTTTGAGACGGGGCGACGGTGGTGCTGGCTACCAAAGGGGCTGTTGCGGTTACCGGAGAGGCTGGAGAACTGGGGACGAGGACGAATGGCACCGGGAACGGCAGGAGTAGGGCTGTTGGCCGTCTGAGGTCGTCGTTCCTGAGGAGGTGAAGTGGCATCGAAGCATTCATCCAAGGACAGAGCACTGCTCATATGTGACAAACGGTTCTCACCAAATCGGAAGGTGGGGAGCTGGTTGTCTGTGTTGGATCGACCAGGAACGCCACTAGTAGAGTAGCCTTTCATTCGAGTCAAGGACGGGCGGCGCAGGCCTGGCTTTCTCCGTCTACCCCTGAGTTAGACGCGACCCCTTGAGCTAGGAGGAATGTGGCAATCAAACTTACTCGGCTCCCAGTGGCTTGGGTGGCTCCAACGACGCTTGCCGAGGAATGGGGGCTGGCGAGTCCAACATCATTTCGTCGTCCTCGGTGGTAGGAGTCGATCCCGGCGTCGGTGACGTTATCTCGATCTGGGTCATGAACGGCAGCTTGTGCGGGAGAGGCGAAACGTCCATCATCTCGTTCATTGCAGCGGGCGAGGACTCGGGCATCGGAGGGGTCGTCACGATGTAATCTAATAACTTTCATCAGCACCACCACCGTTGCACTGCAGAATGCCAGGTCAATGCTAACCGCGCGACTCGGCGTCACCCATCATGTTGGATGTGAACAAGGCACGACGAGGAGTCGGGAACTTGGGGCTGCGATGTGTTAGTCAACTGAGGCTCAAGTACATCAGACCAGTCCATCTCACCTCGCCTCGTTGTCCAGACGGAAGTTCTGGGAGAGGTCGGCAGCCAGGCTGGCAGCAGGCGAAGAGCCGCTGACGCCAAAGTAGTCGCTGGATCGGTGCAACTGCTCGCGCAGGCTGTGTCCTCCGGTGTAGTGAGGGCGAGGGCGGAAGAGGTCCTTGTTGCCCCAGGTCGGGACAGCCATAGGGCGGTGCATAGCCGCCAAGGGTGAGGTCTCCATGATTGCAAGTGTTGAAAACGAGGGGGTCGTAGTCGACAAGTGCGATAGCGAGAGTATAAGTGGTTGTGGGTGGGTGTTATTTTGGTGGTGTTAGTTGTAGAGTTGTTTCGCGGTAGTGAGCGCTGCGTCCAAGACGATACTCAATATGTCGTGACGTTGTGGTGTATAATGAGAGACGATCGTTCGTCGGCGCCGAGTAAACGAATGCTGCGACTGCTCCTAATGATTTTTCTGCTGATCCTTGCCACTCAATGGGGGAACAAAACGACGTCGGGACGGGGTGAGGAGGGAGGCTGTCGAGTATCACGGAGTGCTGCGAATCTCGAGTCGATGGGCCGAATTTTGCTTGGCGAGATTCGGAATCGGTAGCGGGGTGGGAGTTTTCTCGGGCAGGGTGCACTGCGCTCGCTACAATCGAAGAATTGGGAGGAGGGGACCGTTCGTTATTGGATCGTTGCAAGCAACATTGGTGGTCGGCAACTCGAAAGGCTGGTTGTCCTTTGGTTTTTTTCCTTCAATCGTTGATTGCTCGTCGTCGAGTTCGAGGTCAAGGCCGTCGTCGCAGGGAGGGCGAGAGCAGCGAACCGAAGTCGAGGGGAGGCGACGGGAGAGGCCGTTCCACGATGCCCTTGGTGTAAAAGGGCAGGTCGAGTTGTCGAGGCGGGAGCGGTGCCGCTTTTGTTGCATGGAAGGTCTCGATGCAAGAGAAAAAGGACGAAGCGAGGCGACGGTCCTTCCGGAGCTGGGAAGCTGAGGTGAGGTGCAGGCGCAAAACGGTGCGGTGCGGACGGTGCGGTGCAGCAGTGCAAGGTCGGTGCCGTGTGGGTGCGTTGGGTGCGGTGCGGTGCAGTTCGGAGTGCTACTACCACTTCTTTTTTTCGCCTTTTAGTCTCGCTCGAGCTACGCTTCGGTGGCCGAGAGCTGAGAGGGAAGGGAATTGGGAAGGCGGTTTTGGAGGGATCCGAGAGTACGACGACAAGCAAAAAAGACAGGGCAAAATGCACGTCTAAGCCTCTGCGGTTGATTCCTTCTACGGTTCTTCTTTTTCTGTTTCTCTCCTCGTCTTTCCTTTCCGTGCCGGGTTGCGTTGGTGCAAGACGTACGTCACACTAAAACGAAGGTGTGGTGGTGGACTGGCCAAACACACATAAAAAGCAGTTTTTACTGATTGATAGATCTGACTGATACTGGGGGCGGGAGTGGTACTGTCGACGATATGGTACTGGTTTTCCGGGCAGAGAGCGGCTGGACCTTGAGATCTGGACCTGGACCTTGGACCGAACAAAAAAGGCAACAACCGTATATCCGTAAAAAAACCTACCGTACCGTCAGACCGTTGATGGTTTGGTCGGGGATGAGGGGAGAAGAGGGAGAGGGTGGGAGGGAAGTGATCTGGAAGGAGAGGAGACTAGAGGTTTTTGAATGATGGTGAGGGACGAGTACGACTGGAGTACGACTGGGACGGGACGGGATGTAGAAACATGGAGGACCAGGCTGGATGGTAACCACATCAGACTGTTCGACAGGTACTGGCGTACTCTGGTAGGGTCGACGAAGGAGCAAGAGGGTGTGTGGATGGGAACATGAACCAGGTCCAGGAAGGGAACGTTGACGGGGTGGATTGAGACTTGCCGGGATGGGGGATGTCACTGTCAGTGTTTAGCCTGCCACAAAAGTCTGGGATGGGCCGTTGGCAGAGTAAGGTACTTCTTTCGTAGCATCTGGCCTACGGTTAGTGTTGCTACGTATGGAGTCACGGCAGCAGGCGCTCTGCTCAGTACGGCGACAGTACTTGACAGTGGCAGAAGAGACAAAGTGCGGGTGATGGACATGAGCATAGCACAATGGCACAAGGCGGAAAGAGACAATTCAAGCTCCTCCTTCGCAGGCAAAATGGCACATCAACCAGACAGACACAGACACACCAGACCAGTGACCAGACTACGAGCAGAGTGTCCAGTGAACAACAGGGAAGCGCCAGACCTGGGGGGTGTGCGGCGTGTGATTCCAACGTGAGATTCAAGAGCGCACGCCTCCTTGGGAAACAGCGAGAGCGAGCGTGTGTGAGAGAGTGAGAAAGAGGCGTGTGTCTTGGTTTGTCCAGCCCAGACTACGGAGACCTTACGTAGTAGTGTGTTAAGTGCGGATAAGGTAGCCCAGACAGGTGGGCGCTTCCAAGGGGAGAAACAGAAAAAAAAAAAAAAAAGCGATACTTGGGAAAAGTACCCAGCAGTGCGGCGCGTGGGGTCGTTTCTCTGTCAGTCTGGTGTCAAGCCCCTGGACAGTCTGGAGATCTTCGCTATTTCGACAGACGACTCGGGGGGGACGTCGAAGAAGGTTGTCAGGGCGATTTGGTTGCTGCTGCAGCTACGGAGCCCTTCTGCGGTCCTGCAGGCCATGATGCAGCTTCTGGATGGACGATGATGATGCAGGATGGGATCCATGCCTTCCTTGCCCATGACATGCCCTCTTGGCCCCGGCCTGTCCTGTCCTGCCTTGCCCTGCTCTGAGAGCCATGCCCGGTTTGGTTGCTGCATCCTGCTTTCCTTCTTGGGCTGATGCGGCTGTTTGGTCTGGCAGTCGAGTGGCCCAAGCTGTGTCCTGTACAAAATGGAAAGATACAGTACGGCGATAATGCACCAAGCACCTGCAGATGCAAGTGCAAGTGCACCAAGTGTGCAGCTCGCCAGGATGCATCTGCGCATAACGTACGCAGCGACCGACCTTAGCGCGCTGCCATGTTTCTTGCAGACCGAAGGTGGAAAACGTAGATACGGTACGTATCTTTCCCACCCGGTGCTGCCAAGCATGTTTCTCTCATTGTGCTGGCTGCGGTTTAGTTTACACAGGGCATACCCGGTCTGCATCCGACCTTATTCCTGGCCCAAGAGACACAGAGAGGAAGAGAGAGTGTTCATCTTTTTCTTCCTCTGGCCAAGGAATTATCGATGCCACCACACACGTTGTTAGCGCTCTCCGATACTGTCACTCGGTAGCATTTCGCATTCAACCGATCTTATCTTGCTTTTCCTCGTCCGACAACGACGACAACAACAACAATAATAATAGAGCTGGCCCGAATGGTCGGTTCCAAGGCAGAGGCACGTTCAAACGTGCAATGAGCACGTGTCGGGCTGAGTACGTACCTTTTGACCTTATCTTGCGTTAGCTGCATCTCCCAGAGCGCTGTGCTGTGCAGCGGAATCGACGAGAATCGTGCCAATCGTACAAAATGCGAGTCGTCCCCCGCCAATGCGCTGCGCGTGTGCATCACCCACGGATCCAGTTCCTATGCAGAGCACAGCACGGCACAGCACAAACGCGGGACATCAAATCGCCCCTAAGAACCTGCTCATGGAGCTCATGGAGCCGTCGGTGGTCCAGTCCTCACTCACGTCCATAGCACTCCAAGGTATTGCCGACATATGATGAACCACCTACACTGGATCCTACTCCTGCTATGAATACACCTTACGGATACCCGCCTACGGTAAGGAACGGCAACCTCAACCACGGGCATCCACCAATATGCCCTACCCTGCCCTGCCCTTTTCCACCTCACTCAGGGGATCCGTCTTACGATGCCGGCGCTGTAATTGGCTTCCTCGGGGTACGTAGTGTATCTATTTGGACTGGTGATAGTTGATACATAGGTACGGTAAGCAGGGCCCGTCGAGGGCGTTACAGGGGCGGACGTTGGCACCATTCCCCTGGGAGACTTGTCCCTTACAGGCGGTTGCCGCAACGATTTCTGCTGTAGTCCATTTCGAGGCTGCTGGCTGCAGGTGGTGGTGCTGATGGTTCCGGATGAGGCGTCAGGGGCTGACCACGGGATATCTTCTGTAGCACGTTGCCGCCTCTTACAGTTGAACCTGCCAGCCGTAGTCGTAAGAAGGAATACTTCCAGACTCCAAAGTCCATAAGGTATCACCAACTCAAGTCACCCCGTCCACTAGCTTAGAGCCTGGCGGCGTGCACGTCCTGCGCCGTATCCCGTCTCCTGGTCCCGTTCGGTGCCGTTCTATCGGTCTGGTCTGGATGGGCTTGGTCTCTGCTCTGCTGAATCCAATAAGAAAAAAAAATCTCCTTGACCCATCATCTGTCCATGACCCTCCCACGTCGCCCACCCGACCGGCGTTCGCCATGGATCCTGACTGGCGTTAGATGCCTTTTGGCAAAGATTGAATCCCGCAGTGGTCTGTGAGCCCGTGGTCTGTGGTCGGTGGTCGCTGGAGCGCCGAACCCGTCGCTGTGGCAGCTCCCCTTTTCTTACCGCTGTTCCAGCGTGCGGATGGAACACACTGTGTGTTCTATTGCCTGTATGCCCCCGAGGAGCGGGCGGGGAGTGGACGGCGGGTGGACCTGCGCCGAAGCTGTGGCCGTCACCCGGGCCTCACTGCGGCCCTCCATGTGCTGAAAACCTATCCCACCCCGCCTGTTGCTCGCCTGTTGCTCAGGTTGCGCAGTGGGAAAGAACGGGTTGCTCAGTGTAAGGGGGTTTGTCGTCCAGACAAGAGCTAGGGGAGCCTTTTCAACGAGATGAGGATGCTGGGGGAGGGCGTGTGAATGAGGCTCCAGACCGACACTGATCCAACGGGACCCGACCCGCGGGAAAGAGAGCCCCAGAGCCCCAGAGCCCTGAACCAGGCCAAGAGCAGCGCAACGCAGGGAGAGAAGACCGAGCCTCGAGCAGAAGAAAGAAGAAAAAAAACGTCTTCTAGCGGGACCTGCCCCAGCAGCTACTGCTCAAAGCGTATTCGATATCCGTCGAAGCGGATTTGGATTTGCATTGTGCCTTCCCAATTCTTTCATGTCATAAAGATGCGAATTCGCAATGTGCAGGTGCACCCTTTGTTCCTTGTTCTAATTCAGTCCGTCAGTCCCAATGCTCCTTCTCTGTTCCATGTTTGAGCTTGCCTTTGTGCTATGCTGCATAGGAAGGTAGCTCTTGCCTATTCCTATTCATACCTGCTACATACGAATAAGGGAAGAAGGTACCT